GGAGCCTAAATCGAGAATGCTGTTGCAGCTTGTCTTAGTTTGAGTTTCTATTGACCACAACAACTCTTATAAAGAAAAAAAATTAATTGGAGCTGCCCTATAGTTTCAGAGGTTCAGTCCATTGTCGTCGTGGCAGGGAGCATGGTGGGGCACAGGCAGACAGGGATGGTGCTTGGAGAAGGAGCTGAGAGTGTTCCATCCAGATCAGCAGGCAGCAGGAAGGAAGACAGACACACAGGCTAGACTTGAGCTTCTCAGACCTCAAAGGCCCCCCCCACCCAGTGACACACTTCCCCTCCAACAATGCCACACCTACCCTAACTAACAAGGCCACACCTCCCAATAGTGCCAATTCCTATGCATTCAAACACATGAGTCTGTGGGGGCCATGCCTATTCAAACCACCACACGGGGCTCCTGGTTCCGGAAAGCAACTGTCTCGGGAAGTGTTTCCCTAGGGTTAGTGCACAGAGGCGGCTGCAGCTGTGGTCCATGGTGGGACAGGCTCCATCCCAAGTCCACAGAGGGACATGGCAGTGTTGTACACTTGGTACTTGTTTCGCTGGCAGGAAAGATGTGAAACTGAAGGTGTTAGGAACTAGCAGCCAGCTGACCCCCGCCCCGACGATGGGTGGGACGCTCATGGCCTTGTCATCTCTACCTCAGCTTTACCTGGCGGCCAGAGGACTCAGTTACGCATGCGCAAGCCTCTTTTAAAGCAAGCGCGCCAAGTGCTTCTCTCTCTCTCTCTCTCTCTCTCTCTCTCTCTCTCTCTCTCTCTCTCTCTCTCTCTCTCTCTCTCTCTCTCTGTCTCTCTCTCTGCCTCTCTCTGCTCTCTCTCTGCTCTCTCTCTGGTCCCTCTCTGTTTCCTCTCTCTCTGCTCTCTCTCCTGCTTTTGGTTGGCCACCAGCTACCCCCTCTTTCTCTCCCCTCTCTCAATAAACTCCACGTGGGCGCTAAGTCTCATGTTTGTGTTTCTTAGGCAGTAGCTGCGCCGGAGCAAAAGAACAACAGAAGGTATAAGAGGACCTTGTACCTTGGTTCCAGAGAGCTACTGGCAGGCAATGTATGACAAGGCTGGAGCACCTGCAAGGCGGCTTACACACGCAGCTAAGAAGAGGAAGTCTAAGAAGCACTGGAGATCTCAGGGTGCTGGAGAAGCAAGGCAATAGCTTGTCTGCTGAGAAAAGCTGTGGGTATCATGAAGGTAACCCCTAGGGCAGTGCTAGAGCAGCAGAGCTGGGTGGGAGGAGCTATTCATTAGAACCCTGACTGTGGATGCACATGACAAGCTGCCTCAGGCTTCTGCAGTCACATTTTCCTCACTGTGACCAATGGCATCCCTTTAAATCGTGAGCCCAAATAAAGCCCTTTCTTCCTGAAGCTGCTTTTTGCTAGATTTTTTGTCACAGCAATACTACAAGTAACTACTTAAATGATAGTGTTAAAATCTTCCATTAAGTGAAGCTGTTTGGGGTGGGTAAGGCATGAGGCATCACATGGGACTAGCAGGCAACCCAACTCCTTCCTTCCTCTTTCTTTTCTTTCTTTCTTTCTTCCTTCCTTTCTTTCTTCCTCTCTCTCTTTTTCGCTCTTTCTTCCTTCCTTCCTCCCTCCCTCCCTCCCTCCCTCCCTTCCTTCCCTCCTCTTTCTTTCTCTCTTTCCTTCTCTTTCTTTCTTTCTTTCTTTCTTTCTTTCTTTCTTTCTTTCTTTCTTTCGTTCTTTCCTTCCTTCCTCCCTCCTTTCTTTTCTTTTTCCTTTTTTGAGACAGGGTTTCTTGGTCTAACTCTGGCTGCTCTGGAACTCACTCTCCATCCACTGTCTCCAGTGCTGGGATTGAAGGGCTGACTTCACCCAAGTTCTTATCAGTCCCAAAGACACTGACTTGGCTCCTTCTTACCGGGTTCATACAGGGTCCTCCCACCCAATCCAGTCACTTCCAGCTAGGGAAGAGGCTAGAAGCAAGTGTGTAAATGATCTGTTTTAATTGGCTGAGGGAAAAGAATGCATTTAGGAAGGTTGCAGAATATATTTTAAAATTCTGCTGGCTACAGAATTAACAGCTTTTTTCCCTCCTGTTTCTCCACTTGTGTTACAAACCAACCTGAAAATTACAATGGGCCTCACAAGGGCACAAGCTGTCTTTAGTAATTTAAATAACCTGAAGTCTCTGGAATTCGGATAAGAATAGGACCACCTATTGGTCAATAGAAGGGGTTAAAGTTTGGCTATGGAATGTCCCCTACAGGGTTGAGGGAGCTGTTGGGGGTGTCTGGAGATTGGGCCTTAAGAGTTATAATTAGCCCTAGCCTCTGCTTCCTGATTCACTAAGCTGTGAATAAGTGGCTGTTCTGAGATCCCCACCCCCACCCCTCCTACAAGGCCTATTGTGAGATTTCCCCCCACCACTAGGGCCACTGTGAGATCCCCACCACAGGGCCCACTGTGAGATCCCCGCCCCACAGGGCCACTGTGAGATCCCCCCACCACAGGGCCCACTGTGAGATCCCCCCACCACAAGGCCACTGTGAGATCCCCCCACCACAGGACCACTGTGAGATCCCCCCACCCCAGGGCCACTGTGAGATCCCCCCACCCCAGGGCCCACTGTGAGATCCCCCTACCACAGGACCACTATGAGATCCCCCCCACCCCAGGGCCCACTGTGAGATCCCCCCACCCCCACCACAGGGCCACTGTGAGATTCCCCCCACCCCCACCACAGGGCCCACTGTGAGATCCCCACCACTATCACAGGGCCACTGTGAGATCACCCCTCCCCCACAGGGCCCACTGTTGCCATGCCTTCCCTTCATGACTGACTGAGCCCTCCTCAAACAGCAGAGCAGGAGCCCACACTCCAGCATTCCCGTTCCCTTGGTTTCATGCTGCCTTCCTTTAGGAAGGAAGACACAGGGCATGTAGGTAGCTTATCCTTGGGTCGCACAAAAGCCCCCCATGTTCCAGGCTGGCAGGAAACATTTTAAAGCTGGAAATAGAGAAACAGGAGACCAAACACTTGAAGCAACTAAGCAACTGAGAAAGAATTAACACCGGATCCTGCATCTGAGTTACAGTGCAGGTCACTAAGGGACATTTATTCTGTGTTCCTTTTAAAAAATTCTGTTTCTGGAAGCATTTAAATGTGGCTTTGAGTGAAAAATTATCTGTTGATCAGATTGCACATATTCAGCATCCAATAAATGTTTGTAACTGAATGCATTTGTGTGGTTTCAGGGCAGTAAAGACTGTGGTAAACAGAATAAGCCAGTTAATGCGTGAACATTTTTCTGTACCTATAATAGATTCTGAAATGATCTCACTATTTGGCTGAGACCTCAGTTAAACATGGCCTGTTAAAAACTAATGATCTTAAAGACTTATTTATTTTTATTTTATGTGTAGGCATTTTGCCAGCATGTGTGTCTGTGCACCATATATGTGCCTCTTGCCTGAGGAAGTCAAAAGAGGGTATTGGATCCACTGGGATTGAAGTTATGGCCAGCTGCAAACCGCTATGGAGTGCGAGGAACCTGGGTCCTTAACCATTGAGCATCTCTCCAGCACCTAAGGGGCTGTGCTCTCTGTCTCCCGCAAACACAGCTGTATATATACTCTCCGCTTGGACTGAACCACACTCTGAGCCGGAAGTGTCTCTCCCTTCAGCAGCACGAAGAGTGTTTTCTCTCCCTGAGGAACATTTAAACACATTTCTGTAACTTTAATATTTGAAGTAGCTGAGTCAGATGAATTCTTAATAATTCCATACAAAATCTCCTAGTGCAATAGGGTAGGCACATTCTTCTCTTCTAGTCCTCTATGAAGAATATAATTTGATTGAATCCCAAGATGATTCTGGGAGTGACACCCTCATGCTGTGGGGCCAAGTTATATAAAAAGCAGGATGCATTTATGTTAAAGACATAGTATCCTTATAGGAGAAAGAAATGCAATATAAAAAATGCAATAAGCAATTGAATGTCGCTGGGAGCGGAGAGTAGAGACAGCTTTCTCTGGGTCCAGGATGGGTGGTCAGTGAAGAAACTATCCTTTCTTTCTCTAATCAGAGCTCCTGGCCTTGGCCATCACTGGCTTGTGGAACTCGTAGAGGCTCATCTGCCAGTGGCCTTCTCTGGGACAGACTGGCCTTTTCTACAGCTCCTCTTGTTCACATTCCATCGGCTTGGGATTCTCCTCAGGTCTCAATCTCACCCTAGCTGGTTTATCATCACTCTGATGCAGACACTTGGCCATTTCCCATTTCTCACTATTCACATGTTCACTTTGCTTCCTCCTTTTACCTCCCCAAAGGAGTCAGGCAAGAAAATGACCAACCCTCAGGATCACAGAGGAATTTCCCCTAACACCAAGTGCAAGTGAATTGTAAATAAAGAAAGGAAGCCAATTCCCTTTAATGATTTCTGGTAGTGAATCAGACAGCTTTACTAATACCTTCACACAAATCCAAAGCAAGGCTTCCTGACTGAAAAAGCAATACCTTTAGATGGGCTTAGTACTTATTTTAAAGCATAAAAAAAAAAAAAAAAGAAAAAACTCTACTGTATCCAACACTCTCTACCACGGCATAGCCATGGTACCTAAGTCAATATTCCCTGAGCCTGCAGAGACTTTTTTTCTTAAATAAGATTGAGCAAGTTCCCCTGAAGTATTATTCTGTGGGTTTTATTGCGATTGTGCTGTAAATGTGCAAAAGCCTTCAGACTTTATCTTTCAATTATACTTGATATGCAACACTTGCTTCCAACACCTGTGGAGGAATTTTCAGGACCCTCCCCCAAAGAAAGCAGGCTTTCAACTTATTAAATTAGTATGCTTTCAATTTCCCATTATCTTTACTTGCTCAGCCAGAGGTATTACAAGTTAATGCTTCTCCTCAGCTCTACCGAAAGTTGAAACCTAAAGTCATTTTCTGCTTTATCGACTTGCAGGAGGGGAAAAATGACTCTGAAATTACCCTGGTCATTAGAGAGAGTACTCACAATTTTTTTGCCTTCTATTAACACGGTGGAATTATTTGTTTCAACATTCCGCAGTATGACGTTCCCTTTTCGTTCTCTGTAGATGAATTCTTTATCTACAAGAGGGGAAATAGAAAAGAGACATGAGCTACCCAGAAACCTACCTCAGTGTTTGATAGACGTGTGTGAAATGAAGTGTGTAGTTCATCTCAGAGAGGGGTCCTTTAAATGCAGTGCATACTTCTAGCTCCAGAAGTATGCCCTCCAGGGATGGCTCATCTCTGAGCCAGTCATTTTCCACAGACAGCAAAGCACATGTGTGCAGTTTGTGTCTATGTAGGACTTTCTTTGGCAAGACATTCAGAGTGGATACACCAAACAGATGGAGTCTGCTATTACAGAGGAGTAAGGTAGTTGTAGCAAAAGTACTGATGATCTTCTGGATCTGAAGCCTGAGGCCTGAGGCCATACCCTGAAGACCAACTTCACTCTTGTCTATATGCTTCTAGAAGTGTTCCCCAGTTTCCTGCCATGGTCATCTTTTGAATATATCATCAGCTGTGTGACTCTGGTCTTTTCAAAATTCTAAATATTCTCTTAGAATATTGATAATTAGGGGCTAGGGAGATGCTCACTGAGTAAATGCTTGCTTTGAAAGTATGAGGTCCTGAGTTTGAGCCCCAGCAGCCACTTAAAAGTGTCGGGAATGGTAGTGTATGTGTCTAATGTCAGTGCTTGGGTGGCAAAGGGTGGATCCCTGCACTGGCTAGCCAGCCTAGTCAGTGAGCTCCAGACTAATGAGAGTCCCTGTCTCAAATGATCGGGTGGACAAGATCCTCATATTTCTGCTTTCTAGACCTATGTACATATGTGCCTACAAGTGCTTGAGTGCATACACACACACACACCACCCCACACACCACCTCCATAATAAGAAACCACATACTAGATAGTATACAAGTGTATGCAAACCTACACCTGCAGGGAATGCAGGTACAGTTTTTGAGGGGTGGAAAGGCAGAGTAAAGCCTGAAGCGGGGCGGGGGAGGGGGGGAAAGTGAAGGTGGCAAGACTGAGTTGGTTAGAAGGTAAAGGCATTTTACACCAAAAAGCTGGCTGAAAAAGTACCATGCAGACTGGGCCAATTGAAAGGGAAGTTACTAGAAGTCAAATATGTTCAGACAATGGGGAGAAGGACAGTTCATCCATGGCCTGCTTGGTTCCACTGCAATCCGCTGTATGCATTATGTAACTCAGACTTACAGTTTAGTGTTGAGGGTACAGACTGCCATGTGGGTGGCCCTCTTTTCCTGTGTTGTCCTGACAATACTTCCTGCTACATGTCACACAATTTGTATTTTTCCCTTTTGGAGCAAACAAATCATGATATTCTTGCCCACTGGCACCATCATAGTGGGGTTAATCTTATATGACAAGTTAGTTTCCACTTAGGACAGCATCAGTGGCTGCTGCTTATCAGTTTTATATGAAGCCTACAAAAAGGGATCACTACTTAATTTGACACAAACCCATCTCTCTTCATTTTCTAGCTTTCACCATAAATTTTTAAAAATGATTACTTTTATAGTGTGTGTGTGTGTGTGTGTGTGTGTGCATGCACACACTAGTGTGTGCCACATCTTGCATGGCATCACGCTAGGACTTGAAAAAGAAATATTTCCTAAAAATCTGTGCATACTTGTGTATGTACACACATGTGTGTATACGTATGTGTTTCAGTGTGTGTCAGTTCAGGCATGCATGTACCACAGTGAAGGTATGGAGGTTAGGGGACAATCTGGAGTGTGTGTCATCACCTTCTGCCTTGGTTGAGGCAGGGTCTGCTCCTCCCTGCAGCCACCTTGCTAGCTGGCCTGTCCCCACAGAACCCAGGACCACCTTTCTAGGAGTGATACCTCCTATGGTGACTAGGCCCTTCCACATCAATAATTAGTCAATAAAATGCCCATACATATTACCACATCCTAATCTTCAGGAAGTAATTTCTCAATTGGGGTTTTCCCTTCCAAACTAACTCTAGTTTGTGTCAAGTTGACAAAGAACTAACTACAACAGTTTATTCCTCTGGCCCACAAACAATTTATTTATTTACATCTTCTTAGAGTCATGTTGACCCAAAGGTCATTTTCAGTAGATGGGTTTTGATCATCACTTAATACATCAGGCCCAAGCTTTCTGGCATTTTGTGGTATTGTAATTTGTGGTATTGGTTTAATATAAAATTAATTTTCATTATTGCAACTTAATCAATGTACTTTTTAGTTCTAGTCCATTGAAAAAAAGACTCCCTAGGAGGGTTTTCAGTTGCAAAACCAAGTCAGGTAACACGGTGATGTGCATTTCTGCCTGGTGAGCATCATCTGACCATCAGGGACAATGCCAGAGAGGCCTGTTTGTTCTTGATGTTAGGTAGGGGATGGCATTTCACCACTGAACTGGATGGAGAGTGTAGAGGAAGGCATTTCATCAGGGAGCTGGAGAGTAGCTGTAATTGCTCTCCTAAGCAGGTATTGCTCAGCTGTCATGAGGTCTCACATTGAAAGGTTGTTGACTATTACAGAATGCTTCTCTGCCAACACTGAAGTCACCATGTAAGTTTTGGTTAATCCAGTGAACTGTGTGTTAGATGCACCCCAGGACCAGTCACACATTGCACATGCTCTAACGTGCTTCTTTCCAGAGTCCTGGTTCTAATCCCATGATGCTTGGCTCAGGTTTTGCCTTCTGGGATCATGAGAAATACCGGTTAGTTTTGGTCTTTTGTCTGGTTCTTGGCTTGTGTGGCTCTGGAGTAAGAGCACTATTGGCTTCATAACATGATTTGGGAAGTATTTGAACCAGTTCTACTTTGTGAGCAAATGTTGCCTGGATTTGTGTATTTTTGTAGTGACATCATCTGGGCTTTGCATTTTCTGTGAAAGGTTCGAAATCCAAAACTTAAGTTCTTCAATTGTACAGATATATTTACATTTTTCTATTTATCCTTGGGTCTGTTTTGATTAGGTGAGTTACTTAAGAAAACTATTCATGTGATAGAGTATGTAAGCATCTTTAAAATAGTGTGGACAAGAAGACATTTTTTCTCATCCATAACAAAAGACAGATGAACAAGAGAAAAGTAGACAAATTAATAAAAATGAGTTTTATTGGAATGAAGCTCTTCAGAAACGAATCAGAGTAATGGGAAAACTGGTATCTTTCAGGTTTGGGCGGATGGAAAGTGGGCAAGGACAGGACCGAGGGAGCACAATCACAGTGACATCTGGGGCTCATTCAGGCCTGTATGCATCTGTCCCTCTGTGCCCCTGAGTCTTTAGTGATAGGAGCACCCCCTTTCTGTGCACAACAGGGAGGCACTTCTGGGGTGTTCTTGGAACCTGCATTGGAGCAAGCCAGAGAGGTCCTTGGCACCCTGCTTTGGGGAGGACAGGCTGATGGACTCCTGTTTGGGCTACTGTAGCAACTCTTAGATCCCAATGAGTTATATTTGGGAGTCACACATCTAAGTCCCAACAGTATAAACTTTGCTCCTAGTACTAAACTATGATTATGTTTTTAGGAGGTTGATAGTTTGTGACTTCATAGGGTAACAGGACTGCAGCTACGGCCCTGGTGTTTCCTGGAAAGGGTAGTTTGTGTGCTTTGTGTCCTCTAGACTCTGTAGATATTCATTGATTTCATTGATCTTTGCAAAGACCTGATTTTGTCATCATTTTCATCTCAGTACTTGACTTCATGATTCAGCTTACTTCTCTAATTTTTGTTTTGTTTATTTTAACCTTACCAGAAACTTCTTTTTTTTGGGGGGGGGGGTCAGCACTGGGTCTTTGGTACAGTATTTTCCACCCTTTCAAAAAGTACTATTAAGGCTATCTGTTTACTTCAGTGGGTGGTAACAGCTACAGTTTACGTTTATCTTTTTAAAATATACATTTTACATTTACATTTACAAGTATATTTTTAGAGATGTACTTTTATCATGTCTATGCATATGTTTTGTGTCCCTGTGAATGTATTCCGTCTATGTGTGTACAATATGGAGACCAAAAGAGTGTGCTGGGTTCCCTGTAGCTATAGTTGCAGAACCTGTGGGCAGTCCAATGAAACTGAGCTCAGGTGCCCTGAAAGAGTAGCATATGCTCTTAACTGCCAAGGCACCTCTCCAGTCCCCATATCCTACAATTGAAAAGTAGTTATGTTATTTATTTGTGCATGTGTCTGTGTGAGTAGAAGTGTACATGTCTGTATAGGTGCCCCTACAGAGGCATCAGATCCCTTGGAGCCTGAGTCATAGCCATTGGTGAGCCCCAATGCTGGGATCAAACCTCTAATCCTCATGAGTGAATAGCAAGCACTTTGAAGCACTGAGTCACCTCTCCAGACCCTCATGTCACAAATGTAACATGGTGAGTTATTATCCAATCTATACTGCTTACAGGAGCTACAGAGGTAACATAATCTCTACCCAAATTTTAATGTCAGTTTTTACAGAAATAGAAAAAATTAATTCTTGTGGAACCACAAAGAACCTCAAGTTGCCAAGACAGTGCTAAATAAAAATGCACAAAGCAGAGGGCACCATGCCCCAATTTCAAAACTTATATCAAAACACTTATAGTGAAAATATTATAGTGTTGGCACAAAAATAGATGTATAAAGCAACGGAGTCAGCCAATGAAACAGGATAGAAATCCCAGGGGAAAAAAACCACATATTTATTCTCAATTGATTTTTTTGACAGTTGATTTCATGACACACATCAGAGAAAGGATCATGATTTTGGAAACTTGGGTATCCACACACAGAGGAATGAAACTAAACTCTTACTCCATACTACATACAAAAACCAACTCAGAATAGATTAAACACTTACACACAAATGCGGAACCCTTCAAATTTCTACATGAAAACATAGGGGAGCTGGAGAGATGGCTCAACAGTCAAGGGCCCTTGCTACACTTCTGGAGGACCTGAGTTTGTTTCCCAGCATCCACATTAGGAGCTCACAACTTCCTCGATATCCAGCTTCATGGTATCTGATACCCTCTTCTGGATACACACACATAAAAAAAAAATTAATGTTTTAGAAAAGAAG